CATTGCAGCTTTCATACAAAGCTAGAGATTGCGACTCGGACTCAACCCCACTGGCTAGCCATAGGACTCATCCGGCAAGCTGTACTTTTGTGCAGTAAGCTCGATGTCAATATGGGCACGAGGCAACCAAGGGACATTGGAAGGATAACAAGAAAGCTATTTGATTTGGAACCTACAAAGTGCTACATGTGCCACCAGAATAATAGTATTCGGCTTGCGAGTTGAACTCAAAAGATGTGCCCGCCAATGGAATAATGGCGGAGGGGAGAAATGAACCAGTTATGTCACATGACAATGCTCAAGTCTGCGCCAGTCCGAAGTTACGCCAAATGAAGTCACGCCAAAACCGTAAAAAGATATAATGTGCGAGCACGCCACCACTTAAAACTTGGCAGAGAGGCTACGCCACTTAAACTTGGCGGAGAAGCTACGCCACTTGAACTTGGCGCAGAGGCTACGCCACAAATAATAGACCGGCCCTAAACCAATCACATGACTTCATCCAAAAGCTGCTGGTGGTCACTGAACTTGGGTGCCAAGAGATAATAAAAGGCTCAGTCAGCCCATCAACTAATCAGACTGCAGAGGACTGCGGACACTCCTAACCGAGTCTACGCAAGGAGACTGTAAGCAGAGGTGGCTTAAACAGAACTTGCGGGTGATTGGCTGCCACACCATCAAATAATACCCGGGCAGACACCTCTAAGTCTGCCCAACTACCAGGATATATCTCACTTCAGATCAGTTCATCATTTGTAAAGACCGCTTATCATTCTCTTAGTTAGTTGGGATCAATCCCTCTCATAGTATAAAAGCCGCATGTAAATTAGTAGTTAAACAGTGAATAACTCCCCCCTTAATGGCACCTAGCTCTTAGCAGCTTATAAGGCCTCTGGTCCTTATCCCGTTTGACGCACACACTCCCTTGGCGTAAGCCTGAGTTGTCCCTCCGTCTTCGGCCCCCGCCACTTTGTTCAGTCGCAGAGCTACTCGTAGCCGCGCTGTTCATACGCCAAAGTCCATTCCTATCGGGGTTGCTGTGTGGCGGAAACCAACTATCGGCGTACGGAACGTCCTTGAGTTGCTCTGCGCCATCGGCATCCATCTTGTTCAGTTGCAGAGCTATTCATAGCCGCGCTGTTCATTGACAATCATGGTTGATTCAAAACACTGAGGTCGGGACCACGACCTCCCATAAAAAGCCGTTACTGTTTGGGTCTCTGCGTGGCGGAAACCAGCTGGTGGCGTACGGAACGTCATTGAGTTGCTCTGTGCCATCGGAACCCACGCCATTCGGCTTGCGCCACTACTCTGTAGTCGCGCCACACACAAAGGAATTATCTTGAGCTCCAGGAAAAACCTTACCATTTGGCGGAACCATCTCCTGGCGTACGGAACGTCTTGAGTTGCCCCTCCGCCACTTGTAAAATCAGTCAGCTACCCAGCGGCGCTGTCGTTTGCCAAAATCCCAATTTAATTGCGGTTTTGTGCACCACTAGTAGAATATCTATACCTGTCGCCGAAAGGCTGTTAAAGCTGTTGAAAGCCCTTCTGAGGACCTTTTCAAAGCAAACCAGTGTCACACTATTGAAATTGACGGTCGATACGCCTGGCCTACCCCCTCGAACACAAATACGATAAAGCAGGAGTTGGTTGTTGTTAGTTGTTGGAGTTTGGTGTTGGGTTGAGTTAAGACTGAGGTCTTACTCATTTAGCATTAGATTTCACGGCTGCACGCCACTGCACCGTTTCAACGAAAAAAAAGAAAAGTTTTTACGACTCGACCGAAGACGGACGTGGGGAGTCAAACCCCAACTGCTTGCAGTCGCGTGTTGAAGGGGCATGGAGGGCAGTGGTGCGCCGTGCAATACCTCCGCTTACGACCTCCCTCCCTGCACCTCACTCATTCGGCTTTCTGCGTTGCATTCCGAAAGGGAAAAAACCTTGACAGAACGGCTAGGCGGGCGCGGGGAGTCGAACCCCTCAACTGGTTGCAACCTTTCCAACGCCCGAACAGAAGGCAGTGGTGCGCCGTGCACTACGTCCGCTTCCTACTTCCATTCCTCTCCTTTCTAAGTAAGGTAATTTTATTCAGACTGCGAACACAAAACAAATGGAGATCAAAGGGCGGAGGCGGACGCGGGGAGTCGAACCCCTCAACTGCTTGCAATGCTTCCACAAACTCTCAATTAATGCAGTGGTGTGCCGTGCACTACGTCCGCTTATCACCTCCCCTCAATCCATGTCCAACCAGGACGTTATTCTGACTCTGAAGAAGAAAAAAGATGGAGGGAAATCTGGCTAGGGGGAAGCAGGGAGTTGAACCCCAACTGCTTGCATAGCTTCTTCCTCGAGTACAGAAGGCAGTGATGCGCCGTGCACTACGTCCGCTTACCACCCTTCCTCTCCCCTCTAACTGAGATAATTTTATTCGGACTGTGAGCCAAAAAAGTGGGCGGGATGGATGAAGGCGGACGCGGGGAGTCGAACCCCTCCACTGGCGGTCCTAAACAACTACTGGATGGAGTGCAGCGCTGCACCATGCACTACGTCCGCTTCCATTCTCCTCCCACTCCCTTCCACCTGAGATAATTTTATTCGGACTGTGAAAGAAAAAAAGACGGTGGTCAAAGGCCAAGACGGACGTGGGGAGTCGAACCCCCAACTGCTTGCATCTCATTGCGCCGAGTAAACAATTATAGTGTGCAGTGCTCCTCATGTTTTATCCTCAGACCATCAGCGACCGAGTGTGTGTTCCCAAGCAGTGGCCATCTCTCGATGCGAAACTTCCCTTCGCAGATCTGTTTGTAGCGCCCAAACGGTACGAAGAGCGGCTCCATAGTTCAATTTAACTCACCTTCTACCCAGCCCAATCACTGTATCTTATTCACTCTTTCCTCCCATGGCCACGACCGCCAAATCAGTGGCCGCCGCGTCGGCTCAGCCCTTTAGATATATTCCCCGCATGTCCCCACATGCCGCTGCCCCCGACTTCGCCATGCACTTGTATTTAATATCTGTAGATCTATGTATGGTATAGCCTGCAAATGAATATTGTATCTGTCTTTTCTGGCCACGATGCAAGCCACAGTAAATGTGCTGACAATGGTGTAAGAACTGTGATTATGGAGCCATCTAGGCAATGCAACAATGGATGATGAACGGACAGTGGATTGTATGCTGTCCACATCCATTGAACACACAGCACTCAGCTGCTGATGGCGGCACAATGGATCTATTCCGGACCAAACATAGATCACAGGTGGTTCTCACATAGCAACCAGCTCGGAGTCGAAGCTCATATCAATGCCGCCGCCACGTCGTGGCCACGTTGAAACATTTTGGCGGTGTAGCATTAATGCATTGGGTGAGGCGGACGTGGGGAGTCGAGCCCCATTCACTGCTTGCATTTGTGGAAGAATCATAGAGTGCAGTGGTGCGCCGTGCACCACATCCACTTTCTACCCCCCTTCCTGCCCTCTAACTCATATGAATTTATTCGAGCTGTGAACGAAAAAAAGAGGTGTAACGGCGGAAAAGGCGGACGTGGGGAGTCGAGCCCCGTCAACTGCTTGTAACTTTAGATCACACCACCAACTAATTAAATGCAGTGGTGCACCGTGCACTACGTCCGCTTCCTACCTCCATTCCTTTCCCCTCTAACTGAGATGATTTTCTTCGAACTGCGAAAGAAAAAAAAGAGCTATAACGGCCGGCAAGGCGGACGCGGGGAGTCGAACCCCAACTACTGCTTGCATCTGAAAATCACCTCGAGAACTCAGATGATTTTGTGTCCAGTTTGAGAGAAGAGCTGATCCAAGACTAGGCGGACGCGGGGAGTCGAACCCCGTCTGACTGCTTGCCACCGGTGGTTTTAGACGAATTCAGGCAGTGATGCGCCGTGCATTACCTCCGCTTTCTACTCCCCCCTCTAACTGGGATAATTTTTCTCAAGCTGTGAAAGAAAAAAAGAAGGATTGTCCAAGTGAAGACGGACGCGGGGAGTCGAACCCCTCAAATGCATGCATTTCATTGTAATGAGAGTGCAGTGGTGCGCTGTGCACTACGTCCGCACACCACCTCCCTCCCTCATTCGGCTTTTTGCGTTGCATTCCGAAAGGGAAAAAATCTTGACAGAACGACTAGGCGGGCGCGGGGAGTCGAATCCCTCAACTGCTTGCAATTCATATTTCTCCATTATGATTGAGTGCAGTGGTGCACCGTGCACTACGTCCGCTTCCTACCTCCCTTCCTTTCCTTTCTAACTGAGATAACTTATTCGGACTGCGAGCAAAGAAAACCGACAGCAGCGAAGGCGGACGCGGGGAGTCGAACCCCATTAACTGCTTGCATGTCATTGCGATCAAGCATTACCGAAGGCAGTGGTGCACCGTGCACTACGTCCGCTTCCTTTCTCCATCCCTTTCCCCTCTAACTGAGATGATTTTATTCAAACTGCAAAAGAAAAAGAAGAATTACACTGGGCAAGGCGGACGCGGGGAGTCAAACCCCATCTACTGCACCCAACTGTCCATCGACCCATTAAAGGCAGGGGTGCGCCGTGCACTACGTCCGCTTCCTACCTCTCTCCCATTCCTTTCTAACTCAGATAATTTTACTCGGGCTGTGAGCGAAAGAATGAGGGGTCGGATGGTGAAGGCGGACGCGGGGAGTCGAACCCCTCAACTGCTTGGTAGTCATGTTCAATATAGAGTGCAGTGGTGCACCGTGCACTACGTCCGCTTCCTATATCCCTTCCTCTCCCTCTCAACTCAGATAATCTATTTGCACTGTGAACAAGAAAAGAGGTGAATGGAACCTGGTGAGGCGGACGCGGGGAGTCGAAGCCCTCAACTGCTTGCATGTCATTGCCTGGATCAAGCATTACAGAAAGCAGTGGTGCGCCGTGCACTACGTCCACTTCCTACCTCCCTTCCTCCCCTCTAACTGAGATAATTTTATTCAGACTCTGCGCAAAAAGTGGGGGAAGAATGGATGAAGGCGGACGCGGGGAGTCGAACCCCTCAACTGCTTGCAATTGGATCACGAAAGAAGGAGTTACACAAGGCAGTGGTGCGCCGTGCACTACGTCCGCTTCCCTTCTCCTTTCCTTTTCTTTCCAACTCAGATATCCAACTCAGATAATGTATTCGGACTGTGAAAGAAAAAAAACGCGTGGTCAAAGGCCAGGCGGACATGGGGAGTCGAACCCCTCAACTGCTTGCAATTGGATCACGAAAGAAGGACTTACACAAGGCAGTGGTGCGCCGTGCACTACGTCCGCTTCCTACCTTCACTCCTTCCCTTTCTAACTCGGATAATTTTATTCGGACTGCGAGCAAAAAGTGGGGAGGATGGAAGAAGGCGGACGCGGGGAGTCGAACCCCTCCACTGCTTGCCTTTATCGAGGATCTATAGAGTGCAGCGGTGCGCCGTGCACTACGTCCGCTTCCTCTCCTCCATTCCTTTCCCTTCTAATTGAGATGAATTTTATTCGGACTGCGAGCCAAAAAAAGATGGGTGGTCAAAGGGAAGACGGAAGAGGAGCATTGGGCAAGGCGGACGCGGGGAGTCGAACCCCTCAACTGCTTGCATCTCACAGTGTTCAAGGGATATAGAAGGCAGTGGTGCGCCGTGCACTACGTCCGCTTCCTCTCTCCCTTCCTCTCCCCTCTAACTCGGATCATTTTATTCGAACTGTGAGCACAAAAGTAATGCGTTAAAAGCCTAGGCAGACGCGGGGAGTCGAACCCCTTCACTGCTTGCAAATACCCTTCGGTTCCAGTTACAGAAGGCAGGTGTGCGCCGTGCACCACGTCCGCTTACTACCATTCCACTCCCCTCTAACTGAGATGATTTTATTCGGACTGCGAGCAAAGAAAACCGACAGCAGCGAAGACGGACGCGGGGAGTCGAACCCCCAACTGCACGCAGCTCCTCAATGCCATTAACACATTAGGGCAGTGGTGCACCGTGCACTACGTCCGCTTCCTATCCCCATTCCTTTCCTTTCTCACTCGGATAATTTTATTCTAGCTGAGAACTCAAAAAGAAGGGTAGCAGTGCGGGGAGTCGAACCCCTCGACTGCTTGCAACTCGTAGTCATGGATAACATAGAGTGCAGTGGTGCACCGTGCACTACGTCCGCTTCCTCTGTTCTACACTCTATGCCTCGATATATTCGACTGTTCTGCCCTGGGTGCGGGATTTAAAAAATGCAGAGCTAAGGAGGCCAGGCGGACGTGGGGAGTCGAACCCCTCAACTGCTTGCAACTGGAAATCTCAAGCACGTATAGAGTGCAGTGGTGCGCCGTGCACTACGTCCGCTTCCTACCTTCCTTCCTCTCCCTTCCAATTGAGATAATTTACTCAGACTCTGAGCAAAAAACTGGTGTAGTAAGGGCCCAGGCGGACGCGGGGAGTCGAACCCCATTCACTGCTCGCATTCGCGTGTTGCAAACTATAAAAGGCAGTGGTGCATCGTGCACTACGTCCGTTTCCTACCTCCATTCTATACCCCGAGAACTCAGATAATTGTGTCTCCAGTTTGAGAGAAAAAGATGATCAAAGCCTAAGCGGACGTGGGGAGTCGAACCCCGTCAACTGCTTGTAATCCTTCGCCAATCTCTCAATTAAATGCAGTGGTGCGCCGTGCACTACGTCCGCTCTCTACCTCCCTTCAACCCATGTCCAACCAGGACGTTACTCTGACTCTGAGCAAGAAAAAAGATAGACAGATCCAAGCTTAAGCGTACGCGGGGAGTCGAACCCCATTCACTGCTTGCAACGTTTCCAGCGCCCGAATAGAAGGCAGTGGTGCGCCGTGCACTACGTCCGTTTCCTTTCTCCCTTCCACTCCCCTCTAACTGAGATAATCTATTTGCACTGTGAACGAAAAAAAAAAGAAGAGTAGCATTGGGTGAGGCAGTCGAACCCCATCTACTGCTTGCAATCATGTGTGCTCACAACATAGAAGGCAGCGGTGCACCGTGCAACACGTCCGCTTACCACCTCCTTCCCTGCACCCCACTCATTCGGCTTTCTGCGTTGCATTCCGAAAGGGAAAAAATCTTGACAGAACGGCTAGGCGGGCGCGGGGAGTCGAACCTCTCGACTGCTTGCAATGCTTCGACAAACTCTGAATTAAATGCGTGGTGCGCCGTGCACTACGTCCGCTTCCTACCTCCCTCCCACTCGCATCTAACTGAGAAGATTTTTTTCAGGCTGCGAGCCAAAAAATAGGGAGGATGGAAGAAGGCGGACGTGGGGAGTCGAAACCCCATTCACTGCTTGCATCTCGCTACGTGCTTCACCATTGAAGGCAGTGGTGCACAGGGCACTACGTCCGCATACCACCTCCTTCCCTCTCCCCTCCAACTCGGATAATTTTATTTGAGCCGCGAACACAAAACAAATGGAGTTCAAAGGCGGACGCGGGGAGTCGAACCCCCAACTACTTGCATCTCAAATGACATCGAAATGTTGACTTATTGGAGGCAGTGGTGCACCGTGCACTACGTCCGCTTTGTACCTCCCTCCAATCCATGTCCAACCGAGACGTTATTCTGACTCTGAACAAAAAAAAAGTTGGACCGAATCTGGGTAGGGGGACGCCGGGAGTCGAACCTCGTTCAAATGCCTGAATTTAGACAAATGACGCACGGAATGCAGTGGTGCGCCGTGCACTACGTCCGGTTCTTCCCGCCATTCCTTTCCTTTCCAACTCGGATAATTTCATTCTAGCTGAGAACGAAAAAAGCGAAGTCAAAGCCAAGACGGACGCGGGGAGTCGAACCGCGTTCACTGCTTGCAAATACCCTTAGGTTCCATTTACAGAAGGCAGGTGTGCACCGTGCACTACGTCCGCTTCCCTTCTCCCTTCCACTCCCTTCTAACTGAGACTCCTTTTCAGACTGTGAACGAAAAAAAGAGGTGGAACAGTGGGCGAGGCGGACGTGGGGAGTCGAACCCCCAACTACTTGCATCTCAAATGACATCGAAATGTTGACCTATTGAAGGCAGTGGTGCACCGTGCACTACGTCCGCTTCCTACCTCGCTCCAATCCATGTCCAACCAGGACGTTATCCTGACCCTGAACAAGGAAAAAAGAGAGAGGGAATCTGGTTAGGCGGACGCGGGGAGTCGAGCCCCTTGACTGCTTGCAACTCGTAGTAATGGACAACATAGAGTGCAGTGGTGCGCCGTGCACTACGTCCGCTTCCTCCTCCCTCCCTCTCCCTTCTAACTCAGATAATTTTATTCGGACTGTGAAAGAAGAAAAAAAGGATCGTCCAAGCGAAGACGGACGCGGGGAGTCGAACCCCCAACTGCTTGCAACTTTAGTAACATGGCATGGTTACAGAAGGCAGTGGTACGCCGTGCACTACGTCCGCTTCCTACCTCCTCTCCTTTCCTCTAACTGAGATGATCTTATTCAGACTGTGAACGAAAAAAAGCGGTCGAGCATTGGCTCAGGCAGACGCGGGGAGTCGAACCCCTCGACTGCTTGCAACTCGTAGTCATGGATAATATAGAATGCAGTGGTGTGCCGTGCACTACGTCCGCTTCCTACCTTCACTCCTCTCCCTTCTAACTGAGATTCTTTTACAGACTGTGAACGAAAAAAAGAGGGAATAAAGAGTCTAGGCGGACGCGGGGAGTCGAACCCCTCAACTGCTTGCAATATCTGCGGGACTTGATAGAATGCAGTGGTGCGCCGTGCACTACGTCCGCATCCTCTCCTCCCTTCCACTCCCTTTCAACTGAGATAATTTTAATCGGATTGTGAAAGAAAAAAAGATGAGTAGCGACGCTCAAGGCGGACGTGGGGAGTCGAACCCCGTTCACTGCTTGCATACCCTCCGTGCTTCAATATAGAAGGCAGTGGTGCGCCGTGCACTACGTCCGCTTCCTCCCTCCTCTCCTTCCCTTTCTAACTGAGATAATTTTATTTGGCCTGTGAGTAAAAAAGTGGTGTAGCGGTGGACGAGGCGGACGCGGGGAGTCGAACCCCGTTCAACTGCTTGCATGTCATTGCGATCAAGCATTACCGAAGGCAGGGATGAACCGTGCACTACGTCCGCTTCCTTTCTCCATCCCTTTCCCCTCTAACTGAGATGATTTTATTCAAACTGCGAAAGAAAAAGAAGAATTACACTGGGCAAGCCGGACGCGGGGAGTCGAACCCCATCTACTGCACCGAACTGTCCATCGACCCATTAAAGGCAGGGGTGCGCCGTGCACTACGTCCGCTTCCTACCTCTCTCTCATTCCTTTCTAACTCAGATAATTTTACTCGGGCTGTGAGCGAAAAAAAAAGGGAATAAAGAGCCTAGGCGGACGCGGGGAGTCGAACCCCCACCTGCTGGCAATCCATACCTCTTGATAATAATTGAATGTAGTCGTGCACCATGCACTACGTCCGCTTACCACCTTCCTTCCTCTCCCCTCTAACTGAGATAATTTTATTCGAACTGCAACAAGTGGGGGAAGAATGGCGAAGGCGGACGTGGGGAGTCGAACCCCTTCACTGTTTGCAAATACCTTTCGGTTCCAGTTACAGAAGGCAGGTGTGCACCGTGCACTACGTCCGCTTATCACCTCCCCTCAATCCATGTCCAACCAGGACGTTATTCTGACTCTGAACAAGAAAAAAGGCGAAGGGGACATGGCCAGGCGGACGCGGGGAGTCGAACCCCTCAACTGCTTGCATTTATGGAAGAATCATAGATTGCAGTGGTGCGCCGTGCACTACGTCCGCTTCCTACCTCCTTTCCTTCCCTCTAACTGAGACTCTTTTTCAGACTGTGAACGAAAAAAAAGGTGGAACAGTGGGCGAGGCGGACGTGGGGAGTCGAACCCCTCAACTGCTTACATCTCACAGTCTACAAGGGATATAGAGTGCAGTGGTGCGCCGTGCACTACGTCCGCTTCCTACCTCCATTTCACTCCCTTCCAACTGAGATGATTTCTTCAGGCTGTGAGCAAAAAGTGGGGAGAGAATCTGCTAGGCGAACGCGGGGAGTCGAGCCCCTCAACTGCTTGCAATTGGATCACGAAACAAGGAGTTACACAAGGCAGTGGTGCGCCGTGCACTACGTCCGCTTCTCACCTCCATTCTACACCTCGAGAGCCCAGATAACTTTATTCAGACTCTGAGCAAAAAGTGGGGAGAGAATCTGCTAGGCGAACGCGGGGAGTCGAACCCCTCAATTGCTTGCAATTGGATCACGAAAGAAGGAGTTACACAAGGCAGTGGTGCACCGTGCACCACGTCCGCTTCCTACCTTTACTCCTCTCCCATCTAACTGAGATGATTTTATTCAAACTGCGAAAGAAAAAGAAGAATTACACTGGGCAAGGCGGACGTGGGGAGTCGAACCCCTCAACTGCTTGCCTTTATCGAGGATCTATAGAGTGCAGTGATGCGCCGTGCACTAAGTCCGCTTCCTACCTCCCTTCCGCTCCCCTCTAACTCGGATAATTTTATTTGCACTGTGAACAAAAAAGAAGACGGATCAAGACAAGGCGGACGCGGGGAGTCGAACCCCGTCAACTGCTTGCATACGCGTCTCGACAAACTATAGAAGGCAGTGGTGCGCCGTACACTACGTCCGCTTCCTGCTCTGCGCTTGGATATCCCGTACACCAGGCTAGGGCGAGGTATGCCAGGATTTTTATTTCATTTTATTCACTTTAAAGTTTAAACACGGTGGTCGAGGCTGGGTATAATACACCACGAAACAATACGTGGTATGCGCGATATTGAGGCGGGGAAGGAATACTTGGAAACAGAGTTCGCCTCGTACACGCGCAGCAGAAGGAACGGGAAGAAGGGAAGTGGACACACAGACGGAGACGGGGCGGCTCGGCTCCGCGGCGCTTCCCCTGCCGAGAACGTTCCTGGTGGAATCCGGTGTACGGGCGTGTACTGAGATGCATCGAATGAATGGATGAGCACCCCGTCGATCCAACCTCATTCATTCATCCTCTCGGTTACTCACACCGCGAATGGGTGAATGAATAAGAGAGGATGAATAAGCGGGATGCGTAAGGGAGGGTGCGTAAGGGAGGTGGCGGCGGCGCGCAGGTGGGGGCGATTGGGGCGTGGGATCCACCCGATTTCGATGAATGAATGTGCCTATGTAACAGCCAGGGGGAGGGCGCGAGATGTTGGGAGGGGAGGAAGAGGAGGCTGACTCGGAGGCATCGCATTGCGGCGGCCAGAGCGTGGCGATGACGTCTGGGCATGAATGAGCGGGCCTGGCGCCGTCGACGTCAGCTTGCGTCGACTCAGGGGGACGTCCCATCCTACATCCAAGAATGAAGGCGATGATGATGATGAAGGAAAAGGAAAAGAAGACTGGAGTGAGGGCGATCGGGCACGGGGACATGACAGCACTGAAATGCGTCGATCTGAGCAACGGTTTGCATTCTAAGTGTCGGCCAAGAAAATATTGCAGTACTGACAGTGATGACGCACGCGGACACTGCGATCTGCGGGCAACAGCATGCAGATCGCCGCCGGCGACCTAGGGCGTCGCCGGGGCTCTCCCGCGAGATGGTGCGATTCCCATTCGGGCACAAGAAGTTTTAAGCTCGCGAAGGCACAGAAGAGTGTGCGCGTACTCGCCTCGACGGGGAGTTGAGTATGCGGTGGCCGACGCAGGGCGCAGGCAGACCACAGAGGACGTCGTCCGCCAGTTTGAAAGAGGATTGAAGAGAAAAGAAAGAGAAAGTTCAGAGAAAGTTCAGAGAAAAAGACAGAGTGGCCAAGCGCAGTGATGATCGATGACGTCACGCAATGATTTTGACTTCAACCAAGTTGAACCGCACCCAAAGCACCGAAAGTCAGGCAGCTACCATAGGTTGACATTAGACTTCTGCAAGAATAAATCTAGGTACGGCTCCATTGTACCGGTCGGCACCTGGTAGCAGTATAGTTGGCCCACGCGGAATTCAACTTCCATGCTGGGTAGGGGAGGTCGAAAGTCAGTTGGGTAGGTAATGTCGAAATAAGATGACACCCTGGATCGGCACTGATAGGAGCTCAGGCTCGGGATCATTACCGTGAACAATGCAATACAGTGTCAGAACTGCGGGAATGCAGCGAATTTTATTTGGCCTGTGAACGACAAAAAGAGGTGTAGCATTGGTGGGTGAGGCGGACGCGGGGAGTCGAACCCCTTGACTGCTTGCACCTCGTAGTAATGGACAACATAGAGTACAGTGGTGCGCCGTGCACTACGTCCGCTTCCTCTCTCTATTTCTTTCCTTTCTAACTGGGATAATTTTATTCGAACCGCGAGCAAAAAAATGGGGTGGGGGGCGGAGGAAGGCGGACGCGGGGAGTCGAACCCCTCAACTGCCGCCGTGCACTACGTCCGCTTCCCACCTCCATTCCTCTCCTTTCTAACTCGGAAAATTTTATCCGAACTGCGAGTAAAAAGTGGGAGGACAAATGGAAGGTGGACGTGGGGAGTCGAACCCGGCCGTCTGACTGCTTGATGGTAGATTTAGACAAATTCAGGCAGTGGTGAGCCGTGCACTACGTCCGCTTCCTTCCTCCCTTCACTCCCTATCCACACAGGACGTTATTCTAACCCTGAAAAAGAAAAAAGAGGGAGGGAATCTGGTTAGGCGGACGCGGGGAGTCGAACCCATTAACTGCTTGCATTGGCGTTTTAACGACCTATAGAGTGCAGTGGTGCGCCGTGCACTACGTCCGCTTACCACCTCCACTCTGCACCTAGAGAACTCAGATAATTTTATTCGGACTGTGAAAGAAAAAACGAAGGATCGTCCAAGCGAGGACGGACGCGGGGAGTCGAACCCCAACTACTGCTTGTATTACTTTAGCTCCCGAATAAATGCAGTGGTGCGCCGTGCACCACGTCCGCTCCCCCCCTTCCTTCAATCCATGTCCAATCAGGACGTTATTCTGACTCTGAGCCAAAAAGTGGTCTGGATGGATGAAGGCGGGGAGTCAAACCCCATCTACTGCTTGCAATCCTTTGACCACCTCTAATAAATGCAGTGGTGCGTCGTGCACTACATCCGCTTATCACCTCCATTCCCGACCTAAATATTTTCCCTGCTTCAGCCAGCACTGGATAAAAAGACGAATGCGCAAGGCATCAGGCGGACGCGGGGAGTCGAACCCCCAACTGCTTGCATCTCGCACCTACTTCCTCATACAAGGCAGTGGTGCACCATGCACCACGTCCGCTTCCTTTCTCTGTTCTACGCTTGGATATATCCGACTTTTCTGCCCTGGGTGCGGGATTTAAAAAATGCAGACCAATGGACGCTAAGACGGACGTGGGGAGTCGAACCCCTCAACTGCTTGCATCGAGCTTCTTCCTCGAGTACAGAAGGCAGTGGTGCACCGTGCACTACGTCCGCTTCCTCCCTCCTTTCCATTCCCTTCTAACTCATATGATTTTATTCAGACTCTGAGTAAAAAAAGTGGTGTAACGGTGGGAGAGGCGGACGCGGACGCGGGGAGTCGAACCCCGTCAACTGCTTGTAGCTTTATACCACCGACAAATTAAAGGCAGTGGTGCGCCGTGCACTACGTCCGCTTAGCACCTCCACTCTGCACCTAGAGAACTCAGCTAATTTTTCTCAAGCTGTGAAAGAAAAAAGAGGGGTCGTCCAAACGAAGACGGACGTGGGGAGTCGAACCCCTCGACTGCTTGCAACTCGTAGTCATGGCAATATAGAGTGCAGCGGTGCGCCGTGCACTACGTCCGCTTCCCACCTCCATTCTACACCTCGAGAGCCCAGATAATTTTATTCAGACTCTGAGCAAAAAGTGGGGAGAGAATCTGCTAGGCGAACGCGGGGAGTCGAACCCCTCAACTGCTTGCAATTGGATCACGAAAGAAGGAGTTACACAAGGCAGTG